TATCACACTGGAGACAGAGCCTGGTTTGCATAGTCTGCACGTTTAATCACTTTAAAACCTCTAACATTATCTCGTGTCCATTAAATAGAACCAACAATGCTGGGCCTGTTTAAATTACAAGGAAAAAAAATCACTCTGCACCAACCCAGTATCTTACAAAAACAGCCGGGCTGGCCACAGAGCGGGCATGGAAGAGGAGGGGGCACCCCTGGGCCGGTGGCCAGGGACCCGAAGGACTGGGGAGAAAAATAAAAGGGGTCTCCTGGGGGAGAGGGGACTGATTGTCCTAACGGGAAGGGTGCAAAAGGCACGTCAGAAGAAGGGTTTGGGAGGCATGGCAGGTCAGTGCTCTCTCCGTCAGGGCAGTGTTGGAGGGGGCTTGATGCCACCCCTGGACTTGTAGAACTGGTGACCCACAAGCCCTGGCCATAAGCCCTGTTTGAAACAGATGTCCACCTGCCCCTCCTACCGTGACCCTCTTTCCTGGAGCCCACCCGCTGGCCTGGCCCTTCAGGACTAGGGGCTCAGCTACTCCTCACGCCTCAGCAGCACACTGCAGCCCCCTCCGCCGCAGGGCAGGGCAGCCAGGGGAGAGCGGGGTGGGCAGTGGGGGTGAGAGGGTCAGTGGTCCAGCTGCTACCCCCATTACAAATACAAAAAAAAAAAAAAATCAGCATCTAAAGTGAAATAATCACAAAGTGAAAATATATCCTCAAACAGCTCCTGAGATCCCCACAGGGGAAAGCAGCATTGGGTGGGAGGCGGGAGGGGCCAGCCTGGCCACTGTCCCTCCCCACCACCCACCCAGGGGCTCCGGGACTGTGAGTGCCAACAGCCCAGGCAGCCCGGGGCTCAGAAAACAGGGGCTTGGGCCCTGGAAGAAGGGAGGGTGCTGGAGAGGACAGGGCAGTCGCGACACCATCTCGGGCCTGCCTAGCAGGGCCTGGCCCAGCGGAGGCTGGGGCACAGAAGCAGGTTGAGGGATGGGACGCCCGCCACTGGTGCACATCTAGAAGCACCTGCCTGCCTTGGTCCGTTCCTATAATCGCCACTTCTGCTGAGGGTCACCAGAGGTGCGGGACAGTGTCAGGGACGCAAAAGCCCTTGGAGAAGTGGCCACCTTCTACAAATCTCTCTTAGGTCAGCCTCCCTGCTGCCTGGATGGGGACCATTATTGCTTTAGAGGGAGAGGAGGGGCAGGAGCTGCAGCCAGGCATAGGACCCAGAGGGGCTGCCCCTTCCCTCCACAGAACTCAGCAGGCCTCAGCCTCAGCCAGCTGCCCCTGACAGCTACCCCACAGGTGTGGCTCCGTCCTCCCATGAGGCTGAGGGGTAAGGACAGGCCCTCCCACCCTACCCCCAGCTGACCTGGGCCCAGCTCAGCAGCCAGGTGGGCCCAAAGGTGGGTGAGAAGCAGTCTCTGCCCCTTTTGCCTCCCAGATGGGGTCCAAGCCCAGTCCCAAGATAAAAAAATACTTTGGTGAATTAAAAAGTGCCCAAGGAGGGGATGGGCTTGAGGGGGCTCGTGGCGGGCTCGTCAAAGGGCGCTCTGGTCTCTGATAAAGGCGGTCCTCTCGCCCCGGCCCTCGTCCTCCTCTGAGTCGGACGGGCATTCCTCCTGCCAGGCCTCAGGGGGCAGCCCCCTGTAGGAGATGAGGCCGCGGTCCATGGTGTACACCTTCACACCCCGGAAGCTGAAGCCCGAGCGCAGCTGCAGGACCAGGAAGACGGTGACAAAGACCAGCACGATGAAGGCGCAGCTGAGGCCAGCTACCACCTCGGGCAGGTGGGAGGGCAGCAGGCCAGCTGCAGGCCTCGGCTCAGCCTCCACTTCTGGGGTTAGCCCCGGGGGCTGCGGTGGCTGCTGTGGAGGGGACTCTCGGCTGCTCTGGCTCTGCCGGGAGCAGGTCTGCTCCACAGGGTCCAGGGAGGCATGGCTGGGGCAGCTGAGGCAGTCTGTGGGGGCTGGGCCCTGGCACGTGGCACAGGAGGCATGGCAGGGAGCACAGACACTGGCCCGGATGGTCTCAACATCGTTCTCAGTGCTGTAGTGGGTATCAAGGACTTCGGGCGTGAAGCCTGGTGGGCAGCGCTGGACACAGGTTTTCTGGTGCAAGGAGAAACCTTCTTCGCACACTGCCAGCATGGGAGAGAAGGGAAGGTGTCAGCCAAGTGGGCCATAGCGAAGTGGGCCATGGCCATGGGGCCACGTAAGCCCACAGCTCAGGTCTATGCCAGTCACGTGGACCTGCAGCCCCAAGTACCACCCCCAGGAGTCCCTGGTCTCTTTTTTTTTTTTTTTTTTTTTTGGTTTTTCTCCGGTACCGGGAACCGAACTCATGACCTTGCACTTGCCAGGCAGGCGCTTTGCCACTGAGCT